GGGTGCATCACTCCAATATCCCCAGTGTAAAACCATCCATTTCTCATGCATTTTGATGTCCCCTCACGGTCTTTTAGGTATCCAGCCATTATAGTTGCCCCTCGTAAAACAATTTCTCCCATAGTCGAACCGTCTCGTTTTACACTTTTTCCCGATTTAGTCTCGATCACATCGACTTCAGAAAATCCTACAATGCTCACACCCTGTCTTGCCTTTAGCCTAGCTCTTTCTGCGGCGGACAATTCGTTCCACTGGCGTTTCCACGAGCATGACACCACGAGGCCACCAGTCTCCGTCAACCCATAACCATGACTAACTATAAAACCCAATGATTCAGCCCGGTTGAGCACTGCGGCCGGCGGTGGCGCCCCGGCCGTCATTATATGGACAGGAGATTCAAGCTTTTTGCCACCAGAATAGTTGGTTAACATGTTAAGCACCACTGGCGCACCACACATATGTGTCACCTTGTACCTGTTATAGATAAAATAAAGTTGAACTACTGTTTTAAATAAAGTTGATCTTTTAGAATAGAGCACCAAAGTCTTAGTAGTACCTATGTATTGCTTCATGGATAGATGGAGCGTCGATTCGGCGGAGACACACATTAGTGGCGCCTACAGCGGCCATGGCCCATGCGTAGCTCCAGCCGTTGGCATGGAACATGGGTAGTGTCCACAAGTAAACTGGCTGTTTCGGCACGGACCAGTCGAATAACGAATTTAGTGCCATTAGGAATGCTCCACGGTGGCTGTGCACCACTCCCTTGGGAGAAGAGGTGGTGCCTGAGGTGTAATTCAGTGTTATTGGCTCCCATTCACTTTCAGGACGAACCCAATCGAACCCTGGTTCTCCTTCTTCCACCAGTTTCTCATATAGAATATGATCGTGTTCATTCTCACGTAGCCATGCATTCTCATGATCATCCGGGATAAGGACTAAATTTGGACGTTTACAATTCAAAGGAAACATGGATATTGCTTCAAGAACAAGAGATCTCGACTGATGGTCCACGAAAACAAGCTTCGACTCGCTGTGTTGGAGCAAAAGGGAGATGTTACGTGCGTCAAGTCGAAGATTAATCGTGTTAAGAATAGCACCGGACATTGGAATAGCGAAATGGAGCTCGCACATGGCAGGCACATTCGGGGCAACCACAGACACAACTTCACCCCTTTCGATCCCCAACGACACGATGGAAGAAGCCAGTCGGAGGCATCTCGTATGTGTCTCGGACCACGTATAGCTAGTGTCAT